CCCGCTCCGGCACAGCCCTTCTTTCTGTTCTGTTCTTTTTTAAAACGTGGTATCCTGTGCTAACGGGCTGAAAAAACACGCCAGGAAACCGCTCTTTAAAAAGTTCTTCCATTTCCCGAAGGAAAGTGAAAACAGGCGCAGGTCCTGCCCAGGACGCAGGCCATGCCCTTCTGCGGCCACCAGGCCGCCGGGCCTGTCCCCAAAGCTTTGAGTGTCTGAGAGAGGTTCTAGATCACCTTGTCTCCTTCCTCTCCAGGGCACCTTCTCTCTGATCATTGAAGCTCTGCACACAGATTCTTCTGACGACCTCGCAACAGGTAAGCTCAAACCAGAAAGCGCCCGAGCTCCGTAGACCGCCTCCCCGCAATGTGTCTGCGTCCACACCTCCCTCCCTCTGCGGTTCCTCCGGGCGCTTCAGGATGGAGGTCTCTGGCCTCCCCTGGCAGTGGGCATCCGTTCCCCCCCACGTCCCCGCCTCTGGGATCAGTCAGCCCTGACAGTGACCTCCCCTCCCCACAGAGAACCCCGAGAGACTCATCAGCCGCCTGGCCACGCAGAGGCACCTGACCGTGGGCGAGGAGTGGTCCCAGGACCTGCACAGCAGCGGCCGCACTGACCTCAAGTACTCCTACCGCTTCGTGTGTGACGAGCACTACTACGGCGAGGGCTGCTCCGTCTTCTGTCGCCCCCGGGACGATGCCTTCGGCCACTTCACCTGCGGGGAGAGAGGGGAAAAAGTGTGCAACCCCGGCTGGAAAGGCCAGTACTGTACCGAAGGTGGGTCCTGGGGGAGAGGAAGCTGCTGTCCTCAGTTTACCCGCTTCCCAGGGAGCAGGGGAGCATTCTGGGGGCTGCTAGCACTAGAGAGGTGCTCTGGTGGGGAGACCGAGTCCAGGGAGCCGGAGAGACTTGCCAAGACCTCAGTCAGCCAGTCGCAGGGTTGAGGTCAGCTCAGACATTTCGACTTCCGCTATGGGAAGCTGCCCTTCTTAATCAGGGAGGATTTTGGAGACAGGGCCAGGGGTCAGGAAGTCAGCGAGGGAGAGGGAGGGGAGGAAGGAAGGGAGGAAGGGAGAGCGGCGTTTGTGTGCAGGGGCTGCTGCAGACCAAGCTCTCTGGGCTGGGACAGCATCTCGTTGGAACGTGCTTCCTTCTCTCTGAAGCCGGTGTGCTTGGCCTCTTCCCCGAGCTCCTGTATTTGCAAATACCCTGTGTGCTGTGCACACACTGTGCTGTTGTCACCTGTGGGGCTGAGGACGCAAGGGGGCTGTGCGTGGAGGCTGGGTGTGCCAGGCCTGCGTGGGGAGGGGCCTTCGGCACCTAGCCTGGGAAAGAAATAGCTCTGCAAGTGACCTAGGCCCTTCCTGACCAATTATTCAGTATTCCCCTGGCAGCCAGGGCAGATCGGGCAGCTGCTCTGCGGGAGCAGGGAACCAGGGCAGGGGGATGGGGGCTTGTGAGAGCCCCGTTGGCTCCTGGTCCTGCTGGGCCTCAGCAGGCCTCTCCCCAGCCTGCTAAGTCCCCAGTGCCGCCTGCACATCCAGGGATCAGATTTCCCTACAGTCAGGGTGGGTCCTAGAGCTCCCCGGACCCCACTGAACTTTTCTTCTCTGCCCCGGAGCAGGCAGCCTTCCCCGGAGGTGCACTCTCTGAGTGGGTCTGTGCCGGGGGCGGGCGAGGGTGGCTCTTCTCTCATCGTTGCTGTTGCCCAGCTTTCCACGAGCTCCACTTTGGCCCGAGCGGCTCTGTTGTCTTAAAAACGTGTGGAGTGGCTTGTTAATGAGTTTCATAACCAGGCATAACCAGGCGCAGGAAGCCGGCCAGCCCCGGCCCCGGCCCGGCCCCGCCTCCCCCCTCGGCCAGGCCTGCTGCTCCCACCCTCGCTGTCCCCTCTCTTCACTGTGGGGTGGCCGTAAACTCAAACTTTTTTCTTCTTCTTCAAACACTGGAGTCTCTCCCCGCCCCCAGTGCGCGCGTGCCATCCATTAGATCTCGGCAGGGATAGGTGCAGGGACGCACGCCGGCTCCCATTGGCGGAAAGGGCGCGTGCATGTGTGTGTGGTGTGTACACGCCGGGGTGTGTGAGGGGTGGGGGCCGGGGTGAGGGGGCCCGTATTGTTGCACGGGGCAGCTGCTGGGAGAGAGCAGACAATAGAGCAGCTGTCTTGCCCTGGTACTCTGCAGACCAGCTGTCCACCCTTATCTACACACACACTTTCTGGGTATTAAGAGGAGGAGCTTTGTGCATAGAATTGGGAAGTGGGGGAGGAGGCGGGGAAGGACTTCTGACCCTCTCTTAGAAGAAAAGGGGATGAGGTGGGGGTGGGGGCTTCCTCCATCTTTTGTGCTTGAGCGGCTGCATTAAGAAGAATGCTCGCCCTGGCCTGGTAAAGTCCGCAGTTACTGGGCAGGACGGAGATTAGTTCAGCTGGCCTGGCGAGTTGTGCGGCAGGCAGCCCTGTTGTGCTGGGGAGCACGGGCTTGACCCCGTGGTTTTTCTTTGCTGCAGCAATCTGCTTGCCCGGATGCGACGAGCAGCATGGGTTTTGTGACAAGCCGGGGGAATGCAAGTAAGTCTGCCGAAGTCGCTCTTTCTTTTTCTCATGACCCGTTTACAGCTAGTGTGTTTGTAAAGCGTCTCTGGGTGATCATTTGGAAAAGTCGGGTAAGGCCAGCTGGTGGGGCCGCTGTTGAGGTGTTTCTGCTTAATGAATATATGGAGAGGTGTAAGGTCCCGGGTTGTCAGTCAGCTCCGCTCACTGGTTATGGGAACTTTCAGACAGCACTTGAGAAATGACAGAATTGAGCTCCATGGTTGTCAGTCTTGGGGTGTTTAGAATCACCTAAGGAGCTTCCAGAACTGCGGCCAGGTGACCCCAGGAGTCAGACCCTCGGGGGTCCTGTCTGTTTGAGAGCCAGAGGTGTAGGTGCTGCTGGGAGACAGTTTCCTGTGAGTGGGAAATGCTCTGCCATCACCCAGGAATGTCAGCATCCCTCTGACCCTGTGCCCTCTCCTCTCAGGTGCAGAGTGGGCTGGCAGGGCCGGTACTGTGACCAGTGCATTCGCTACCCAGGCTGTCTCCACGGCACCTGCCAGCAGCCCTGGCAGTGCACCTGTCAGGAAGGCTGGGGGGGCCTTTTCTGCAACCAGGGTAAGTCTCCTGTCCCCTTGCAGGCAGCCAGGGCTCTGCCTCTCTCAGGGAAGGTGCAGCCTTCCCGTCTGACCTTGGTCTTCCCGTCTGACCTTGGTCTTCCCTCCCTCCTCCTCTTCCTGTCCCTGCCCCTCCCAGACCTCAACTACTGCACACACCATAAGCCCTGCAAGAACGGGGCCACCTGCACTAACACGGGCCAGGGAAGCTACACCTGCTCGTGTCGGCCCGGGTACACGGGGGCCACCTGCGAGACCGAGGTGGACGAGTGTGGCACCGGCCCCTGCAGGAACGGGGGCAGCTGCACGGTGAGTCCAGGACAGCGGCCCGGCTGGGCACGGGCACACGGGCCGCCTGGAGCAGCATTAAGAGGCTTTTCCATCTCTCCACCACACAGGACCTTGAGAACAGCTACTCCTGCACCTGTGCCCCCGGCTTCTACGGCAGGATCTGTGAGCTGAGTGCCATGGCCTGTGCGGACGGGCCTTGCTTCAACGGGGGGCGCTGCTCAGACAACCCTGAGGGAGGCTACACCTGCCGCTGCCCCGTGGGCTTCTCCGGCTTCAACTGCGAGAAGAAGATGGACCCCTGTGGCTCCTCGCCCTGTTCTAACGGTAAGGGGCGTATCCGCGATGGCGTTGTCGTGTCAGCGCCGATGAGGACGGCAGGGGCTCGCGTTTAACCTCAATCCAGGTCCGTGGCTTTGCAAGCTCCTGAGTTTAATCTGGGCTTGAGTCTGGGGAGGCCCAGGGAGCAGGAAAGGCAGACCGGGTTCATCCTCAGGCTCTGCAGGGAAAGCCCGAGGTGGGGCGAGGCCACGGGACGTGCTCCCAGTGGTGCAGCCCTGTGGTGCCTGAGACCGGGCCCCCTGCTGCTGAAGCCGGCGCCCCAACCTCCATCCAGCCACTTTGTTTTGGAGGGAAGCCCAGCTCTGCACAGTCACCCAAACAGCCGTCTGGCGTGTCTGTGTGAGGACGTGTGGGTGGGACACCCTAAGCAAACTCACAGGGAGGGAAGCAGGGCCCCAGACAGGCCCGACGTTTCTGGAAGCTTCTGGGTCTTCCCCATTAGACAGGATAGTCAAGGGAACCTTCCGATGGAGGGGAGTCGTTTCAGCCGGTTGGAAGGTGTGGCCATCCTTTGGTCAGGCTCTCGCTCGGTGAACTCAGAGGCACCCCTGCCTCACTTTTTTTCCCTAAATATGTTTTTACTGATTTCAGAGAGAGGAGGGGAGAGGGAAGGAGAAATAGAAACATCGATGAGAGAGAATCAGTTATTGATTGGCTGCCTCCTGCACGCCCCCGTTGGGGATTGAGCCGGAAACCGGGGCATGTGCCCGTGACCTGGCTCATACATAGGTCGACACGCCACCACTGGCCACACCTGCCGGGCCCGACGCCTCCCTTGTAGCGAAGCAGCCCCCTGGAGGCTCAGGCGAGGGCTCTGTCAGGACACGGCCCCCCTCCTCCTCACCCCTGCCCTTCTCCTGGGCTCTGTGACTGTGGGTGCTCATCATGGGGGAACGGTCCTCCTCTGGGTGGCTGTGAGCACTGCAGGGGGCAGGCTGGGCGCTGTGCCCTGCCCGTCAAGGCAGAGCTGCTCAGGGCACAGGAGCACCGTTGTCGGTTCGTGGAGTGCGCCGGGCTCCCAGCGCCGCATGGGAGGGAGCCGGAGGCGGTGCCCTGAGCTGCTCCTCAGGCCACGGGCTGTCTGGTTCGTCTCCGTCTCTCTCGTGTGACGCGTGGTGGACGCACGGCAAATGCTCTTGTCCTGCTTTCCAGGTGCGCAGTGTGTGGACCTGGGTGACGCCTACCTGTGCCGCTGCCGGGCCGGCTTCTCGGGGCGGCACTGCGAGGACAATGTGGACGACTGCGCCTCCTCCCCCTGCGCCAACGGGGGCACGTGCCGGGACGGAGAGAACGAGTTCTCCTGCACCTGCCCCCCGGGGTACTCCGGCAGGAACTGCAGCACCCCAGTCAGCAGGTGTGAGCACTCGCCCTGCCACAACGGGGCCACGTGCCACGAGAGGGGCCGCAGATACCTGTGCGAGTGCGCCCAGGGCTACGGGGGCCCCAACTGCCAGTTCCTGCTCCCCGAGCCACCCGTCCCCATGGTGGTGGACCTCACCAAGCCGTACGTGGAGGGCCAGGCCGGGCCGTTCCCCTGGGTGGCCGTCGGTGCGGGCGTGGTGCTTGTCCTCACGCTGCTGCTGGGCTGCGCCGCCTTCGTGGTCTGCGTGCGGCTGAGGCTGCAGAAGGGCCGGCCCCTGGCGGACCCCTGCCGCGGGGAGACAGAGACCATGAACAACCTGGCCAACTGCCAGCGTGAGAAGGACATCTCCGTCAGTGTCATCGGGGCCACACAGATCAAAAACACCAACAAGAAGGTGGACTTCCACGGGGACCACGGTGCCGACAAGAATGGCCTCAAGGCCCGCTACCCCGGCGTGGACTATAACCTGGTGCCGGAGCTCAAGGGCCACGATGCTGCCTCCGGGGACCCTCACAGCAAGCGTGACACCAAGTGCCAGCCCCAGGGCTCTGCGGGGGAGGAGAAGGGCACCCCGACACTCAGGAGGTGTGTGCCGTGGGCTAGGAGGGGTCACGTGGGAGGCCACCAGGGGAGGGCCCCTGGAAGCTCAGGGGGTGCTGGGGGCCAGGCAGGGCAGGGGCCACCTGGGGGGCAGGGCAGCCCAACACGCGGGTGCTTCGAGCCGGGCCAGGCTGGGCAGGAGGGTGCTCTCCAAGCTCTGGTCGCCCCTATTCAACAGCATTGGCACGTTTACCGTGGTTCTGTTCTGTTTTCCTCAGTAGAGACGCATCTGAAAGAAAACGGCGGGACTCTGTGTACTCGACTTCAAAGGACACAAAGTACCAGTCGGTGTTCGTCATATCCGAGAAGGACGAGTGCGTCATAGCCACTGAGGTGGGCGTGGGCACGGCCCTCGGGGGGCAGCCACAGGGCATCGACCTCGACGTTGAGCTAACTCCCCCTTCTATCTTATTGGCCCCTCTAGGTGTAAAATTGAGGTGATATGGCAAAATTCCCGTTTCTCTTAAAATACATAGAATTCCAAGGATCTATGCCCCAACGGATGCTGCTGAGAGGGAAAGGGAGACCTTCACGGACCGCTGCTGGACGAGGTCCCAGGGTCAGCCAGCGACGCGCGAGCGGGCGGCGGGCACGGGCGGTCCCAGGATGCCTGTTGCACTCCGCCTCTACGACGTCTCCATTGCACTATGGACAGTTGCTTTTAAGAAATATATATTTAAGTGAATGGACTGAATTACGACGTGAGACGCATGCACTGCCTGGAGTGTATATTTCGGATTCTTATGAGCCAGCCTTTCTTGAATGAGAATCACAAACACTGCCTTGATCGTCCATTTTGATACTAAAATGTGTTTTTCTAGGTGGAAAAAAGATGTGTGTTATTTTTTGGACTTGTAAGAATATTTTTCACGATATCTGTAAAGCTCGAGTATTTTGTCATGTTCATTTTTTATAATTTAAATTTTTGGTAAATATGTACAAAGGCACTTCGGGTCTATGTGACTATATTTTTTTGTATATAAATGTATTTATGGAATATTGTGCAAATGTTATTTGAGTTTTTTACTGTTTTGTTAATGAAGAAATTCCTTTTTAAAATATTTTTCCAAAATAAATATTATGAATGACCGAGGTGTGCTGACTTTCTCCTGTTCGAGGCCCGAGGACAGACTCGAGAGGGCCTGGATTTTCTGTCTTGAATGTCTTGCCTGGTTTCATTGGATTCATTAGAAGCGACTTCCTGGCTCCTGTGCCCATTCAGAGAACCAACCGTCACCATCGGGACAACCTGGGAGCAGTGTGGCCGCAGACCTGCCGCCTTCCGAGCCTGCCTTTTTCTAAGGCCTGGGACAAAGCTTCCTTTGGGATCAGCTATCCACGAGGAACTTTATTTCACCCCGGCAGAGACTCTTGAAGTGATGGTGGTTTATCGATTGGTTTGAGGGCTTATTTCCAGTTAATTCAAAGGAGTTAGTTGCCTTCTGATTCAACTACAGTTGAGGTGGGATCGCCGAGGTGATAAGAATTATGGGGCGCTTACTGCATGCCAGACCCGTTCACGGTCATCTCAGTAGTCCGGGTGGTACCAAGAGTGTCACTCTCTCGTCAGAGAGCAGGAAACGCCAGAGTGAAGTTACCTGCTCAGGGTTTGTAAGTGGTGGCATCAACATTTAAATCTGGGCAGTCTGGCTCTAGACCCCAGGCCAGTCGTTAGTCATTACTTGTCAGAAACTCAGCTGCTTGGAGAACGAGGCCCCATCATGGGCTCGACTGGTGGTTCCGAGGGTGGGTGCAGGTGTTGGCTCTCAGGTGACAGGTTTGTTTCTGGGTTGGAGGGGAACACAAGGGCAGTCTCCTTGCCTTGGTCCCAGTGACTGAGGAGGTCTTTGCACTGGTCCAGATTTGACTGGTACAGTCAGAAATTCTGGAATCTTCCTGGGGAGGAGGGCAAGGTGTGTGTGGGCACACGGGGGCACATGTGCACCCTCGTGTGTGTGAATGGTGGAGACGGTGGAGTGAGACCTGCAGAACCATGCTGGTCAGGGTCAGCGGGCACAGGCTGGCGCTTGTGTGTCTGAAGCGGAACCCAGACTGTCCTGACTCCTCCGGCCACTGGACTGAGACTGAATAAGCTCCTAAAGACTAGGACTCTGGCGGGGAGACTCTGCCACAGGAAGAAGGAAGTCAGCGCAGGGCTTCCACGACGTGTTCCCGAACGGTTCTCAATTGCCCGCAGGCTCTCGCGAAGGGGCAGGGCGGGGCGGGGTGAGCTGGTGCTAGTTCATGAGCTTCTTTTTACTTTCAGAGGTGACCCGACTTGGGTAATAAATGGCTCACCTCCTTTCAAGACTATGGAACAGGCTGGGAATTCTTGTCAAGTCCATTCCGTGAACGAGAACAAGCCTCAGAGTCCTCACAGGTAACCTCCCCTTAACCCCCCAACCTTCTGTAGATCGGGGAATAAATGCGTCTTTCCTCCAGGGCAAGCCAGTAACCCGCCCAGGGAGCCAACCGAGACGGAGCCCTGGCAGCTTGGGGGTCCCAGCGGTCTGCTGGACGAGGCTCCCTGAGACCCCCGGCACCGCTGCTTTAACCAGATGTTTAATCAGTTGGTCCCTCAGTGTCGGTTTATGTCAGTTGTGGCGGAAATCCAGGTGCACCAGTTGAAAGCAGACACATAAAAACATTGGCATTTATGGACCAGCTGGACCTTCACGCCAGGCAGTGCCCAGTGTGGTCAGCCCTTGTCGTGTCCTCCCAGTGCCAAGTGTGCCACCAGGAGTGAGAAAGGAGGGGACAGCCACGCTTACAACACCGAGTTAGAAATAGCTCCGAGTCCCCAGCTCCGGGAAGGGCCCGGCCCCCTCCCAGCAGCCCCGGGCACCACGCTGCAGGCGCCACAGGCAGGGACTTTGGGAAGCCAGTGAGGACGGCGCAGCACCTTTTCCCTTAACTTTTTGTGTGGAACTTGTAGAAATGTTGCAAGAATAGTGCAAAAGATTTCCATTGTCACCATGGCCATCGGTCCCATCACTCCTGTTTGTCAGCTGTCTGCGGTGGCCACGAGCGGACGCTCTTACTCGTGTCAGCGCAGACGCGAGGCACTTACGCGGTGGGTCACCGCCGTGCCCCCCCGTCCCGGTGAGTGACTGCCCCTCGCTGCTGCCTGATGCGGGCTCCCCGAGTGCGCCTTCCCTTCAGGCCACTGCCACGTCTGTGGCCCAGCGCTGGCGTCAGCCTTCCTCAGGAAGCCTGTTCTCTCAGCAGACAGCGCAGCAACTGCATTTCTAATTTTACGAATTCAGGGGCCTCGACACGATGAGCAGTTACCAAGATGTGAAGAGGAAAACCTACGTAGAAACCGCAGAGAGGCCTCGTGCCAATCACACATTCAGATGTGACTCCACGCGCACTTCGCACGGCGGGTTCTGGGCACGCGGGACAGACAAGCCCACGGTACCACCGGTGAGGGCTTTTTGCAAAGAAAACAAAACTTGATTCTGACCAGACCCATCAGTCTAGTTACTAGTTGACAGAAATACGGGGGACGAGGGACATGGTCAGGACATGGCTAGGGTCTACTCAGCCGAATCCAGGGATCCCGGTGCAAGTGAAAAGGAAAGGTGGGGGAGACGCATGGATCAGAAGAGGCGTGGCAATTAAAACAGTTAAAGAAAACTCTGAGCCAGTCGGAGAAATGTGAACACTGATGCGTATTTTAATGGTATTAAAGTATATTTAAATTTTTTATATGTGAGAGGTTATTACTGTTAAGTTAAACAAAAAAGAGGCCTACACTTTTAGAGAAAATTTCTGAAATACTTGTGGACAAAAGATTCCTGCGTCTGGGATTTGGTTCAAAATAACCCGAGACGGGGTGTGGTGGCAGGTGGGCAGCGGGTGAGGGCTGTGGAGACGGCGTTAGGAGTGGCACCTCGACTAGAAGCTCAGCGCGTGGCGAGTTACTGCTGTGTTGTCAGGCGGCATCTCCAGCACAGAGGCTCTGGGAGGCTTTTCATCTTTGCACATGCTACTCAGATCAGAAATCCTGTAAGACCAAAACCAAACAAATCGGATGGGTTGCAATGCAGAGGGGTTTGGTTCTGGTCCAGGTTCTGCCTACGCTGGCCAGGCCCTTGGTGACTATTAACTCGGCTGAGCCATAAGTCGCAGATCACCGTGGTCTCCACTGAACAGCAACGCAAGGGCCCATTCTCCACGTTGCCATCAGTCTTCCCAGAGCACAGACCCAGGGGAGCTTAAAACCTGCTGACAGCTTCCGACTGCTTTTAGCATAAAGTTGAAAATCCTTAACTTGGTCTGCCAGGCCTTTGTGGAATCTGGCTCCTGACTGTCTTTCTGCCCCGTTTTATATTCTTTCCCTCACCATCCCTGTAGCCACCAGCTGCAGCTACTCTGGCTGGTGGCACATGGCCCTCCTCCCAGATCCCGAGACTCCTGCATGACTTTCCGTCTGGATGCCCTCCCTCTGATAGCTCCTTGGAAATGCGGGCATCAGGGAAGCCCTCTCTGGACCTCCAGATGGGGGTACCTGCCCTACTTTCTGATGCCCTCGAGGCTGGATCAGCTTGTGTGGTTATTTGTTTCAGGTCTGTGTCCCGGGAGATGGCAGTCATTCAGACAGCAGGGCCAGCCAGCTTCTGTCACAGCTGCACCCACTCCCAGCTTCGTGCCTGAGCTGGAGAGGGTTAGCACATGTGAGAGCGCACACGCACACACACCCACACACATGGGGGGAACGTGTGTAAAAGTGTCCAAAGACACTGATCATGAAGGATGTTCACGCTTATCAATGAACACTCCATGGACCATAACATGAAACCAGATATCATCTGAGTGGAAGACAATATTACTTTGCTTTTATTCTAATAAATAAATGGCTACCTAGACACAGTGTATGATGTGAGGATGCATTTGCTTGGTATCCAGCAAACAAAGCAATATGCACTCAGTATATTTCCAATTTGTGAGCTTTATAGAAAAGCTATAAGGAAATTAGATATTTTTTCTGCAGAGCAGCTGAGCGTCTGCAGAAAGGTCAAGGTGGAGACTAGCATTTCGAATGGACTTGAGAACAGGTGTGGTGACTGGGCCTGAGCCCAGGAGGCACTGAGCCTGTTTCTGTTGACAGTAGCCTCACACCCCGAGCGCTGACACTAGGGACACTTTGACCATTTTGGGCATTGGCCATTTGGAAGAAAGTCAGAGGTAATCTTTTTAAAGATGATGTATGTTCATGTGCTGTATTACCTTTTTTTTTTTCTGAACAAACTTGAATTACATTCATTTACTCAAATGAATGATTATTTCCACTTACTCCTGGGAGGTTGAAAATTTGTCATCTGAGATTTTTTTGGCAACAATCACCTTTCTTGATTCTGAAGGAAACGTCTACTGTCCCATGTCTGGCACTTTCTGATCCCATATTCTGGAGATTCCAGTCTTAACAGAAACCAGAGTGGGTCCCCGAATCAGCTGCGTGAGACAGCGATTTAAAATAGACTGCGACGCGAGGATCAGAATCTCCGCGCTGGGAAGCACACGGGGGCAGGGGTAACACCAGGGCATCAGTAGCATTCCTAACAGGGAGCTGGGTTCAGGACCAGAGGAGATAGCCTACAACCACAGGGTGAGAAATTCAGGCCAGATCAAGGATCCGCCCTGCCCTGGGAAGACTGCAGGCCGTCTGTGGGCTGTCCAGGACGGGACAGACCCCCTCCTGATACGATTTCTAAAAACTGGGCAAACATTCGATGGTAAGTAGTGGCTGAAGCGGGCACGAGGACCTAGAATGTTAAATCCGTCTCGGTTTAGGGTTCTCTGACACCACTTTCCTGGCAGCTGAGTCTGTGCCCGTGTGTGCACTGGCTTTTATCGCTATCATGGTCAAATCAATTGTAACAATTTTTACGTTACCTTGAACTTTGAAATGAGTGGAACAGAAGGGGAAACACGCCAGTGTACAGCCCTGGGCCCTTTGTAAGACCCTTCGTGGGCTTAGTGAGCTCTCATCTTTGCAGACAGAATTGGAACCCGAGACTTCTGCCACTTGGTCTAACCTTGAGCCGAGGGACATCCGGTTTACAGCCACGGCTGTGAATGGCAGC